TGAAGTTTTTGATGACACAGTAAATATAGACTTTAGTTCAGTATATAATTCATATCATTATTTTAGTTTCATTGTGGACAAAAAAAAAGCAGATTGGAGCATATTCCAGACAGACACAGCATGTCCCGGTTACCATAGTAACAGTCCCTGTAACCATAGATACTTTATTGATACCGAGGGAAATTCTATAATTACTAAAGTTACAGTGACAGACTGTTACCATGGTAACATGAACAGTGGTTTACTAAGGGTACAGTGAGTTACTATATGGGTTACTATGTAACTCACTGTCCCTGTAGGCTAACCTTAATAACACACTTTCTGTCTATCTGTAACCATAGTAACTCACTGTACAATATCATCTAGTTTTTTAATAAAGACGTTTTTTACATCTTGTTTCTGATAATAAAAACATGTTTTGAACAAAATAAATCCACAGAAAGAGGAACAAAAGGCTGCCGCACCTCCACCGTCGGTAGGATACTTTATAGTGTGACACACAGCGGAAGTAAACAGCGCGAGCACCAGTTCTGAACGCAGCGGAACGGACACATTTCGACGTTGCGCCAACTTCTAAATACAAACGGAAGCGAAACACATAACATTTAACCACAAGTGTATTTAACCTACTGTTTCTTTGAGTATCTCTCTGTTTCACGATGATATACCGTAAAGTTTATTTTTACCTGTGTTTAATAAACGTTTATAACGCAAAAGGAAAAACTATTGAAGAAGAAAGTTAAACAGAGGTTTGTTTACACTCTTTAACAGCCACACTAGACGTTACTTCTTCATGTTACTTGTTGATTTACTCACAATGTAATCTCTTAGTTTAATGAGGGGGTATATCGGTTCATGTCAGATCTTATAGTAGAGGAACAAACCTCCCAAAAAGAGAGACCCCTACCCGAGGTAGAACAAAGCACGACCATATTCTTTCACAACTTCAACATGTCTACTTTATGAAACGGATTGTTGGAGAAAAATATTTTACTGCAAAATAACTTTTTTTGGATGTTTTCTGCATCTTAGCAAAAAAACGAGAATAGGTCAAATGAGGTGTTCTCCAAAAGGGACAGCTCTAGTCTTATCACATGTATCTCTGGGAATCAGAACCAGAACTTCACCACATCTGGACAGGATGTTCACAGATAGTTATTAGTTACAATTATGCAAAGTTTTTATCAATACCATTTTACATTTTTGGATTTTTCACACATGAAACAAAAATTCAAAAGGTATGTATATCAAAGTCTGTCATTTTTTAAGTAAGGACACCAAACATTAAAACATGTCATTTGTATCTTCTTTAGACTGTTATCTCAACATAAAAACAAGTTATTTGACTTTTCACTTGACCCTGTGCTGTCACCAGCCCCTAACAGGAAACTAGTGCAGCCAGGATTTCAGGGCGACCTGGTACAATGGGGCCCTATGGATGTGTATGTGGGAGGAGGTGGCCACAAACAATAGATTAAGACTTAGCAACAACACACAATATAATTGTATTCTGTAATATATATATAATTAAACATTTAATAGTTATTCCTAATACATTTTGTCTCATATTTTCTATCTTACATATGATTTATATGATGACACTCAGAGTCAACCTGCTGCTTTCAACAATATTGTCACCTATGACATTGTTTCTATTTCATTGTAAAAGATTAAAGCATTGTCTTGACATCAGTTGTGAAATATTAATGATCTAAAAAACAGTATTGATATATATAACCTTGAGTTCTTAGAAATTAAATATACTTCATATAGTCTATTTATATATCGGCCATACAGCCTGTTGTAGTTTTTTAATGTATTTCAGTCATATAAAGATGGTGTGTAGTCACCATATCTCCTGCTTTTAAGAAGAACCCCAGTTACTCCAGAGGATACACTGGATGAAGGGATAGTTTTTATAATACCATAAGTATGATAAAGTGTTAAAAAAAACTACAATAGCTATTTTTGTTGAATGATTTATCAGACAACCAATGGAGCTGGGATACAAAACAATTCTTATGATGGTGTAAATGTGTGTGAGGTGAATTAGGATAACAATTGTTGGGGTTGTATCAAGTCAACTTTGGTTATATTCTTTAATAATTATACTTAATTATTAATAATATAAATAAAATATCATTAAACTATGCTTAATCTCGTTTTGGGGCACCAACCTGTAATCAGGTAAATATAACCAAAATATCACTCAAATCAGTCTCAAATTAGTTATTTCATTACTAATATTATTAATAATGAATAACTATATTTAATAAATTGAAGGCGTGAAATCCGTACACAAAGCCTTCACACCCAGCTTATATCACAATGCAAATACACCAGTAATCACAAACAACTGCTCTCTTAAATTATAACAGAATTTATTTAAACAAAGCAACACCAATCCAAAATCAATGAACTTAATTAAACAAATAACTATTATAAACTAATCTAAGCAACAAACATTATCAAGCAAAGGCTTATGGATGAGGTGTAAATGTGTGTGTGTGCAGATGAGTATGTATGTAGATGTGTGTGAGAGAGAGAGAGAGAGAGAGAGAGAGAGAGAGAGAGAGAACAAGATGGTGGAGAGAGACAATGCATCATGTGGCTTCGTCACATGGTGACAAAATGGTGGACAACAAAGGAAGCCGTGTGGCTACCTTTTGAAATAGTTTGAGCTCTCTGAGCTGAGTTCAGTAACTGTTACTTAAACACCAGAAAGCCAGTGGCCAGACTTTGATTCAACGGCGGGTACACTGGTCTTTCTGATTGTGAAAGCCGTTGACTGAAGGTAAACTAGCATAGTATTAAACACATAGAGGAACACAGCAGTTCATTACAATAAAACAAATGCAGTAGCTTACAACAGATAATATACAGAATGTGACGTGTCGTCAACAATGATGCATAATTATCAGTGGTTATAAAAGAAACATAACTATTTCTGAAACTATTTCTGCCCAGACCACTTACTTGGGGTAACTCCTGGTGATCGTTGCAAAGTTGGTTAGATCGTCACTCTGTTGAATGTTAAATCAACAGATTCAGGCAGGTTTCCTTCGTGGCAGATGTAGGAGGAGGGTAGCGGGATTCAGATCTTCGACCAGAGCGCTGCTCTATAGGGTCTTCTGGTTGCAGGAGCCGAGTTCTTTATGTGTCCTTGTGGATTCAGGGATCAGTGGGCTTCCTTCAGCGCTCCTGTCCAGTTGCGTTCAATGACGTCTTACGAAAAATCGAAGGAAAGAAACTCTTCTTTTTGCTCGAACCTGATAACATCTGATTGCGCCCAAAACTCCTAAAAATATGCAGTGGAAGTAGTCAGCTGAATCCTCTGATGCTTGAATTCAGCATGTGAAGAGCTACCTATACTGAGCAACCTCAGCTCTGGAGTTTAACCTATGTAAGTCAAGAGGAGGAAAGGCTTTGTCTCGAATGCTGGAGTCCATCATATGGAGAGGGTATCCTCTGGTGTCGGCAGACCACACTTGAAGAGCAGGAAAGGGTTTGTCTCGAATGCTGGAGTCCATCATATGGAGAGGGTATCCTCTGGTGTCGGCAGACCACACTTGAAGAGAAGGAAGCAATGCCTGGTGATTGCTTTTAAAGACTGGAGCTGCCTGTGGGTTTACCTCAGGCCTCCTCCAATGAGGATAGAGAATTCAGACACCCCCCCACTTTTCACACCTATTTGTTGGTTTCTGTTGGGGGGTTGCTGGGCTAAGACCCCTTTGTTCAGTTCCCTCCAAAATACTCTAGTCAGGCTTAAGAACTGTGATACAGGCCTGAGTCGCTTGTCCCATGCACATGGCTGAGGCCCAACACAATCATGCAGACATGTTTATAAGAAACTTCTTTATACACTTATTTTACCTCATCATATATAATGACATTTGATTTTAAATGCTAATTACAAAGGATGATTTCCACTTAAGACAATATGGCTGTGAACCTGAGAGCTTAACGACGTACAACTAAAACCCTTTGTGTCACACTAAGCATCCCCTGGAGACAAAGTTTGACCTCTCTTCGCTGATCTTGTCCTGTGCTTGTGTAAGTTGTGTTTACTGATGAAAAATTTCCTTCTCCCAAGTTTGAACCGTCAAATATATCCCTAACTCTGAATGTTGGCTGTAGAAAATGACACCAACCCGCTGAAAGCAGTAACGAATAAGAATAACTTCACAGAAGAGAATATCTTCTATCTTAAGGTCTTGTTTGCTTTTGTAAACCATTTCACGATATCAGTATAAGTTTAAGTGAGCTCCATAACCAACCAAAACAATCCTCCCAGGAGCTTTAAGAAAACAACTGCTGCAGAAAATAACCATCAACAAAGTCAACCAACCAAACAAAGATAACACAACCAAATCAAGACACCACAACCAAATCAGGACAACATAACCAAATCAAGACAACATAACCAAATCAAGACAACATAACCAAATCAATACAACATAACCAAATCAAGACACCACAACCAAATCAAGACAACATAACCAAATCAAGACAACATAACCAAATCAAGACACCATAACCAAATCAAGTCAACATAACCAAATCAAGACAACACAACCAAATCAAGACAACACAACCAAATCAAGACAACATAACCAAATCAAGACAACACAACCAAATCAAGACAACATAACCAAATCAAGACAACACAACCAAATCAAGACAACACAACCAAATCAAGACAACACAACCAAATCAAGACAACATAACCAAATCAAGACAACATAACCAAATCAAGACAACACAACCAAATCATGTCAACATAACCAAATCAAGACAACATAACCAAATCATGACAACATAACCAAATCAAGACAACACAACCAAATCAAGACAACACAACCAAATCAAGACAACACAACCAAATCAAGACAACATAACCAAATCAAGAAAACATAACCAAATCAATTAGAAAAATGTAACAGTTGTCTGTTTCTTGTCTCAACTTCTATGCAGTTATCTTTTATGTGTATGTTGTTCTTTTTACCTTTTTTAGCAACAAAGGCCACCTACAGGCTCGAGAAGGTTCTAATGAACAAGCGTGTTCTCGGTGACGTAAAGAAGCTGAGCCCTCTCTACCAAACATCTGCCTTGGAAGGGTTTCACAGCCTGATTCTACGATTTGCACCAAAACATGTCGTCTTCTCATACTTGGGAATGCTCTGCAGGTAAATTGCATTGTAATGTTATTTTCAACATTCAGTAGTGTGGTAACAGGGCGCTAAAGTGCTGACAGTTGACTCTAAGTCTATATTAGTGAACACAAGGCCAGTGTCAATTAAACCATTGTTTTCTTGTTTTTATGCTCCATATATATTTCTTTGTGTATCAGAATCTAAAACTTGTAGACTCTCATACTTTTTTCAAATTACCTGAAACAAATCTTTGTCATTGCAGGCTATACCTGTCAGCACTGCACTTCAATGAACATTCAGTGCGCTCACAGGCAAGGACTGCAGCAGGAGAACTGCACTTCAAACTAAAATTTCCAAAGTGTAAGAGAGGGGAGCATGTCGTATCTGTGGTGAAGACCAACTATACTACTGGTTAGTTCCCAGTTGTGTGAAGCTCACATCAATAATGTCACCTGGTCTGCTTATTTCGACCTACGGAACATTAATCTCTCTCTCTCCATTTTGAAATCTCATCTCAAAACACATCTTTTTAAACTGCCATATTCAGTCTGATCATTCTCCATCCAGTCTCATATATCCACTTCATCCTGTACATTTGTCTTTTTAATGTTGATTTTATCCATGTATTGTTTATTTGTTGTTTTTATCTCTGCTTTGTAAGGTGACCTTGAGTGTTTTGAAAGGCGTCTTTAAATAAAATGTGTTCTTATACTCTCCTGTTTTTCAGAATATGTCACTGAGCTCACCAACCTCCTCTTTAATGAGGTCATTCGTGACCCTGAACCTTTCGTAGCTGCCCTGAAGGAAGTAGCTGTTCCAGGGTTCCTCTGCTCCCAGTATGAGCGACCTGACAAGGCAGATGCAGTTGCCAGCCAAATGTCCAGGTTCAGCTGTCCAGGTAAGGGTTGGCTCCTCCAACACATTGTGGCTAAATGCCTGTTTATCCACAAGTCTGCCTAAATCAGTATCACAACATTTATAATGAATATAATCAAGCACAGATCCAGCTCCACAGCCCTGATGACACAAACACCTGCTGAGAGTGAGAGGAGGGGAGAGGACACCAACTAAAGAACCCAGAACTATGAGGAACGGAGGAAGTCAAGTTAGTAACATACATGTGTCCAGACAGAGAGGGAATGGAGGAAGATATTAGTAGTTTATTATAGAAATGAAATAACTTTCTATAAAATACATGTCCAAACATAACAATACATAAATACTTTCCCTCTTCATCAGGGTACTCCTGGTGGATACGGACAACAACGCAGGAAGGTATCACTACCCGGTTGTGCTTTCCCAGGTATCCCCAGCACCAGGAAATGAAGGATGCCAGGTAGCGAGCGCGCCTATAATAACAAACACAAAAAAGCAATGTGATGTTATGTTCATCAAGATTTGTTTGAAGTTAAGTGGTCTTATAGTCTTGTTTTGTCATGTTTTCTGTCTTATACAGCACATCATGATCCCAAGAAGATGAAAGATGGATCAACCTGCAGCGTGTCTGAAATCTATTTGGCTGTATGGATTGGCCTGGACATTTGTTTTTTTTTTTCTTTCTCTGTTTTAACTTCCATGAATTATCCACAACCATACATTTGTAATTTTGACTAATCAGTTGTTGTGAAGCGTTATCACAAAATGTTCAATTTGTTAGATTTTTATACATGTTGTATATCCTAGTTCTCTATTGTTCTCTGAGGCTGGGACTAGTTCATGCATTTGTTACCTCCAGGTTGGATTATTGTAATTATTGTAATTCTCTCTCTGGATGGATAGGCCGGGTCTTTGTAACATAACAATGAGTAAGATCTTTTACCTGCTTTTTGTAACATAACAATGAGTAAGGTCTTTTACCTGCTTTTTGTAACATAACAATGAGTAAGATCTTTTACCTGCTTTTTGTAACATAACAATGAGTAAGATCTTTTACCTGCTTTTTGTAACATAACAATGAGTAAGGTCTTTTACCTGCTTTTTGTAAAGTGTCTCGAGATAACACTTGTTATGAGTTGATGCTATACAAATAAAAATGGATTGATTGATTGATTCTTGGATTATTTAAATTTGTCTGGAGGCAACACGTGAGTGCAGGATTTCTATTTATAGCTCAAGAGACACTTTAAATTGTTATTGTTTGGCTGATCCTAACAGTATCAAAACTGAGTAAAACTAACATTATCAAACAAACTGTTTTTCCTAAAACTCTCAGCTTTACTTTACTCTTCATTTCTCAAAGAGATGCATTCAGTTTGACTAACAGAACTTATTTTGACATTCCTAAATAAATATGCAGTTTTCAGACATACACAGCTCTGTCTGGCTTCGGCGCATTCTCTGGACACGCCCACAGCCTCCCAGAGGAGAGAGAGCAGCTACATGTTTCAGGATTTTGAAGCTTCATTTTATAAACTTACAAGTTTTTTTCATTGCTGAAATCTGGCCTGGTGGTTAATAATACATTCTTCTTTTGTATAAAAAACTAAAAAACATATTTATTTTTTTGGTTTACAGGGACTTTAAATACGTTGGTGATAGAAATGTGAGAATATTATTAAAATAAACACATGTCGTTAACTAACTATTACCAGACATGTGTTAAAACAACTAAAGTATGATCTTAGATAAATAAGAAGTCCATATTTACCTGTAAGATGTAGATTTTAAACTGTTAAGGCGCTGACAAAACCACCCGATACAAAACATCATACGCCTTCAGTTCACCGGAACGGACACATTTCGACGTTGCACCAACTTCTCATAAATACAAACGGAACAATTTAATCACAAGTGTATTTTAACCTACTTTATCTTGATTCAATGAATCCACGCTCGTTTGTTTTGATTTGGAGGCGGACGTGACGTGACGATTTACGTTTATTTTCGCACAGCATTGTGGGTAAAATACAATTCATTTCCTGAAAGCACGCATCCGATCCATACTGCATGAAACCAGGAAGTTAGTATCCATACTGAACGACCACGAAAGTTCAGTATACTGAAACTCCATACTGAAAAGTACGTACTGCCTACTGAACTGTGGCTATTCGGAAAGGGCCCGTATGTAACCTCAGGGTGCGTTGGAATTGTCCCTCCTATCTCCTTTCACTATCCACTTCACCTTAACCCCGGGGAAAACGTCATGAGGTTAAGGAAAGATGTTAGGAGAATTCATAAAGGACTTAGGGAAAGGCGATCTCGTTGCTCTGACAATCCGACCACATTTTCCACTAGGCCACGTCTTTGGTGCAATTGTGCCAATAGGTGCCTCCGCTGCACTGAACTCTTAACTCAGTTATGCGTGTTGCTTCTTACAATTGTCGAGGTCTGCGTGTTGGAAACAGCGCAGGGGATAGAGCCCGACGAATAGTAATAGACAACTTGTTACAAAACTGTGACATTCTGTGCCTACAGGAAACGTTCTTAAGCAAACAGGATTTGGGAAAGCTGAACACTTTTAATGACAGTTTCCTTGGGGCTGGTGAATCGACTACTGATCTGACTTTGGGACTGGTGAGGGACGAATAGCAGGGGAGTGGCCATCCTGTGGCATAAGACGCTGGACTCTGTGATCAAAGTAATCAGAACAGAAGTAGATTGGTGCATTGCTGTGCAGATAAATATAGGAAATAAAGAGTTTATTATTATTAATGTATATACACCTTTTGAGTGTCAAGACAGTGAAGATATATATTTAAATCATCTTGCTTTTATTAACTCATTTATTCATGAGAATACTTGCACAAGTGTGTACATTGTTGGTGATATGAATGCTGACATGTCAGATAAAAGTTTGCTATTTGCTCGACATATGATACAATTCTGTGAAGATAACAATCTGATATTGTCCAGCCAATTGCTGTTACCTGCAAGTAGCTATTCCTACATAAGTGAAGCCTGGCACACTACTTCTTGGCTTGACCATTGCATCTCCACTGCAGATGCCAATTCTATTCTGCAGTCAATGAGTATCCTGTATGAGACATCTCTAGCTGATCATGTACCATTTGTTATGATTCTTGATGTTGATGGTCTCCCTGAGCTGACCACTAAGGTTAAAGGGACCTGCGGGGCGAACTTGCATTGGCCCAAACTCACAAATGAGGACTTATTGTCATATTATGGGAAAACTGATTTTCTCTTGAGTGATCTATATTTACCCAAAGATGCTGTCATGTGTTCAAGTGTAAACTGTAATGATATATCTCATGGGAAATCCCTCTGTTCCTTGAATGATGGAATTATAGGAGCTATGCATGAGGCCAGTAGATCATACCTCACTTGCTCTAAGAAGGCATTCAACATCAAACCAGGCTGGAATACACATGTGGCTATACATCATGCAGCAGCAAAGGAGGCTTTCAAGGCTTGGAATCAGGCAGGTCGACCCAGACAGGGGCCTGTCCTGGATCACAAAAAGCTCACAAATGCTAGATTGAAATCTGCTGTCCGTTTTGTGGGTAAAAATGAGCAGGTAATGAGAGCAGACTCATTGGCTGAAAAACTGCTCTGTAACAAAGTCATGGATTTTTGGAAAGATGTAAGAGCTTTAAATAAGGGAGCAGCTGTGCTACCGAGCACAATAGAGGGAGTCTCTGGACCAGATAACATTGCTGAGATATGGAGGTAACATTACTATTCTTTATTTAATTGTGTGAAAGGGGACCCATACCATTTGGGAAACATTGCTAGTAGTGATATTGAGGGTTTTACAGCCACTGAGGTCCATCAAGCAATATTGCAGCTTGCTAAAAATAAGGCAAGTGGCTCAGATCAAATCACTGCAGAGCACCTCAAGTTTGCTACCCCAAAGGTTGCTATTCTTCTTGCTATCTGTTTTACCGGTCTAATGACTCATGGCCTGCTACCAGACTCCATGTTGTCCGTCACTTTGGTGCCTGTGATCAAGGACAAAGCTGGCAAGGTTGGGAGCCTAGATAACTACAGGCCTATTGCTTTAGCCAGTGTGGTATCTAAGGTCCTTGAGAGTATTCTTTTAGGGCGGATATCTAAATATATTGGTACCACAGATAACCAGTTTGGTTTTAAATCTAAGCATGGTACTGATCTTTGTATTTATGCCTTGAAAGAAGCTGTTGAGGTATATAGGAGGAAAAACTCCTCAGTCCTGATAGGATTTGTTGATGCCTCTAAGGCCTTTGATCGTGTCAATCATCGAAAGTTGTTTATGAAACTAAGTGAAAAGGGGGTCCCTGATTACATATTAAGGCTTCTGGCGTACTGGTATGCCAACCACAGTATGCAAGTCAAATGGGGAGATACGATTTCCTCCCCCTTTGGAGTGAGCAATGGTGTGCAACAGGGCGGTTTGCTTTCTCCTGCACTCTTTAACTTGTACATGGATGATCTATCTAAACAACTGAATGGTTGCAAAACTGGTTGTGTGTTGGGTAACCGTATAATCAATCACCTCATGTATGCTGATGATTTGCAATTTTTTCCCCAGCAGCGCTGGGTTTCAGCAGCTGCTTAATATATGTTCTGATTATGGTCGAACATATGATGTGCAATACAATGCTACAAAGAGTACTGTTTTGATATGCAGAACAAAAGGGACAAGGACCTAAACTTTCCTAATTTATACCTGTCAGGACAGGTGCTGAGTGTGAGCACCAAAATAAAATATTTAGGTCACTTTATTACGGATCAAATGTCCGATGATGACGACATGTACAGACAATGTTGAATGTTATATGCCCAGGCCGATATGTTGGCAAGAAAATTCTCAATGTGTACAGTCAATGTTAAGAAAACTCTATTCAGAGCATATTGTACTCCTCTGTATACTGCCCCTTGTGGGCCATGTTTAAAAAGGCAAGCTTACAAAAAGTCAAAGTTGCATACAATGACTCCCTGAGAATACTGTTTAAAAAACCTCCATGGACTAGTGCGAGTGAGTTATTTTGTAATGCAGGAGTAAACACTTTTCAGGCTCTTATGAGAAACTTAATGTACAAATGTATCTGCCGATTGAAGGATTCTCAGAATTCCATCATTATGCTGTTGACTAATCCCAGTCATAGTTCTGTGTGATACCAGTCATCCTTGTGGCGACACTGGTACAGTTGTCTTTTATAATATTGGTGATGTTTTGTCTGTCTGTATGTGTATTTACCCTGTGTTTTTATTCTGCTTGTTTTTTTATGTCTTCTAATGGACTCCTGAGTCTGGTAATAAAGATGATGATCATGACGGGCCGGTGGAGGTTAATGACGTGGGTCTGCCGTGGTGAAACTACAATGTTCAGAAAATGGACTACTAAAAGCGCTTCTAAAAACTTTCCCCTGTGCCTTCTTACCGGTGAAATAATCCTAATTACCACAAGGTTGGGATTGAAATAAAAGAAATATAGAATACCAGGCTACAAGTAAGAAAAGTGAAACCATCAGCTTCCTGTCCACTCAGAAATCAACATCAACATAAATATGATTGGATGAAATCAATTGTTACATTTATGTAAGATATAACCTCCACACTCTGATTGTTGCTGGATGTGTTTCACTTTTATCTGTTAGTCGTTCTAAACTTGTTAACATTTGGTTTAATGTGTCTGTAGAATTTGAGTCTTTATGTGATAATAATATAAAACTATGTTTGCCAAAATAAATGTTTAATTCACTTAGATTAACTTCTTCTATTCTTCTTTTGATAATGTTTGACATTTTATTGATGTTGCTTAAGTTCTTTTTTTAAATCAGAATTCATGTTGTGAATGGTCTGAACCACTGGGCTTTATACTAGCAGAATTTATATAAAATAATAAT